TTACAAATCCAGCTTTGTATTCTAGATCATCTTTATCCCTAGTGCTTGGTTAGTGAGTTGGGTATTGATTAAAACTAGAGGAAAAATAACCTAAATTAGGGCCTAACATGAAAAACAATCATCAAAAAATTAGCTTGAAAATAATAATTTAGTGTGTCTTTGCTCACTGTTGCGGGTCAATTTGATCCGAGGAGAGTTTGACGTACAGTATCGTTATCACATCAAGAGACAGATTATTTCCTCACAGTATACCTTCCCTGGACGGTGTGAGTTCTCGTTGACATTTCAAATATCTTAAAATAGCAGTCTATATGCAGGTCAAGAGAAATGACATACTGGCACAATGTCGTTACCTCCCGCCTGTCGATGCTGCTCCCGTCGCTCTCCCTGACAGCCCAGGAAATCAGCTCCATTTCTGCTTTAATTCATTTTGATCAAACATGTCGCTCCCAATCAACCGGGTTTGATTAGGAGACGCAGAACAGCACAGCACAGCAGAGAAGAGGAGAGGAGAGGAGAGGAGTGAGAAGAGAGGAGAGAGGAAGGAGAGAAGGGATAGAGAGGAGAGAGAGAGGGGAGAAGAGAGGAGGGAAGAGGTGAGGAGAGAGGAAAGGGCTGAGAAGAGACGAGTGAGGAGAGGATTGAGGAGAGAGAAGAGGAAAGAGGGAAAAGTTGTTATTTAGAAAAAAAAAGTTTATTGAATGTCCATCCATCCATCCATTTTCTTCCCCTTAATCCATTTCTGGGTTGGAGGGGTGGCCAGAGATGCCACCCAGTACACATAGCACCAGCCCCGCACTGATCCTCCTCCAGGTGGTGAGGGCTTTGGGCAAAGTGGGGTTAAGTGTCTTGCCCAAGGACACAACGACAGCAGTCATCAGTGGGAGTCATGAAGTAGGTCTCATGGTGGGCTCGAACCCACGACCTTCAGGCTCAAAGGCCAATGCTCTACCAACTGAGCCACTGTTTATTGAATGTCTAAATGCTAACTGTTGGCGGGTAAACAGTGCATCACAGAGCTGCGATGGTAACTATCAAACTAGCACTGGTGTTCCGTCCTCTGGTGGAAAACTAGGAGCCAGGACCAGCCCCTTGAGGAAAGAAGCCTTAACTGCCGCAGAATATTTTACAGATATTTATTGTCTTTCAAAAATAAAAGATGCATTCTTAAAGATATTGACATAGAATAAACGACATAGAGAAACAGTAAAAGTCACAACATTATAGAGCACATGCAGAATGTACAGGAGCTGAGTGATTACAGTTACTGCTCTGGGATAAATGAGAGACAGAAATGACTGCATTTGGGAGGTTTTTGGATTTTGGAGATCCGGATCACAGTCTGTCAGTCCTGGATTGTTTTTGTGTGTTAGGAATAGAACTGTGCCTCTTGACAGATTTCTGCACGCTACAAATGCTTTACTAGTAATAGATTTTCAATGATTGGGCAATTCAATTTATTTTGTATAGCCCTGAATCACAACAGTAGTTATCTCTGAGGACTTGACACTGCAAAAAGTGATGAAAATGTATCGTAATTTTAGCGCATTCCGACAGCTTTAAAACAAGATTTGTCAATGGGTCAAAGCGAAATTACTTGTTTTAAAAAGAAACAAGAAATATCTCTCTTTGAATGAGAAAAGTTCTTGAAATAAGACTAAATGGGTTTGTCGTGTTTGACATAATGCACTCAAATTAAGACAAAAACCACTTGATTCAAGCAATTATTATATTTTATTATTAGTTGCAGTGCACAAAGCTGTCGATTCCCCAACACAGATCAGAGAATCAAACAGTTCAAACACAGAAAATGCAATAATAACAAACATTCAGAGTCATTTGTCCATAAGGGGCAGACGACCACAGTGGGTAATTGTAAATAGATGTCCATAAATGTCGTGTGTTTCGCAACAAACTGAATATTCTTCAAAAATGTGTTTATACTGTGCCCAGCCTCATACCTCGTCTAATGTGTCTCCATATGAAGTGAAATCCTGGGATCTGCTGACGAGGCTGCGATAGCGTCAGGGGGAACTACACACGCTGAATAAGAGCCTGTCCTTATCAAATACATCATAATTGAAAAATATGCTGTAAAGAGAGTTCAGAGCAGGGCAATATGTTTCTTAGATTAATGCTTGAGGTCCGTGGAAGTTATTTGCAGATATTTAGAGTTGAGAAATGGGTGACATTTGAGTTTCAGAGGTGCTCGCGGGCGTTTGAGCTAATGCGTCTGTCAAAGATGCAGATATACATCACCGTGTGCACTGAGGGCTCACGGAACAGTCACCAGAACGGGAAAGAAACATCCCAAACATCCACATGCTGGGGATTTTAGATTGTTATGCATTCAGAATTATTAAATAAATGGTGGACAACATATATTTGATCTGACTTTAGTTTAGCCTCATTAATTATTGGCTAAGTAAGTGCTAATTTGTTTTCAAATGATGGTTAATTAGCTGCACTTATTAGTCTATCTAACTAACTATACTAACTGACACTTTCCGATGTGGGCGAAACTAATCAGCACTTAATGAGCTGCTAACTAGTGAGGGCTGATCTAAAGTGTTTGCCATGTTTTATAATAGATCATTTATAGAGAATTATAGAGAATACCTAAAGCTGGAGTTGTTTTTGGGTAATATTAGGCACAACCACCTCGGCCTTTCCGTCTTCAGCCTTCTTTCGTTGCATTATGTCCATATTGCTTTAAACTGAGATTGCTCTGAACCAGGACCAGTCCAGGACCAGTCCAGGACCAGTCCAGGATTGGGATAATTTCATAAACATAATCACATTGGAAATAAACTACATTTAGAAACAGAGAAAGTGACAAAGTTATGAAGGCCAAAAATGTGCATAAGTGGAGTGACAAAGAGCCATCAAATTGACTGCTCTGGGAGTTTTAGTGTTAAAATGTAGGGCAGGGCCTGGTTAGTACTGTGATGGGAGACCGAAGTGTGGCAGCTACAGCTGTAAAGTGCCAAACTGTCATTGTGTCCTTTGGCAAGACACTTCACCCACATTAGAATAAGTCTGGTGTGTGCGTGAATGATTGGTGGTGTTCGGCAGCTGTGGCTACAGTAGCAGTTTATCAACACTGTCTGTAGTGAAAGAATAATGTCGTATGAAGCGTCTTTGAGAGTCCAAAAAAGCGCTGCATAAAATTGATGAATTATTATTATTATTATAAAGCTGAGTCCGTGTGGAAGACCCAGGACACCCTCGAGATTCCATCGGATGAGCAGGAGGAATTGTGTGTGGAGAGGGAAGTCTTTACTGCAGCCTCCACAACCCGGCAACGAACAAAGCGGAAGAAAGTGAAGGGATTGATGGATCTAAAGATGTGATGAAGGCAAACAATACATCACTGTTTTGAGAGCAAGGAACCAGTTGCGTAACCCAGCTTTAAATGTTGCAGAAATGTATGAGAATGAAGCCTGATTCTACAGTATGTAAAATGACTATTGAATCCATCAGAGAAGTTCCCAGATTTGCAACAGCATCAGTGTCTCCAGTCACACTCCGACCGTTCTGCTGGAAAAGACATCTATTCTATTCTTGCCTCTGGCTCATGTTCCAATGTGCACAAATGTATTTACACTTATCCGTGTCGCTCGCTAAATTGGAAGCGCTAATGCATTTTTCATATTTTTAGAAACTCGTGCGTTCCGTGTCTCGCTCTCTCTCTCTTTCATAGATCGTTCTTTCCTCACCTCACATCTCTTTGAAAATATCATACGAAATCGCAGCCTGATTCAAACAAAATATCCAAATGTGATTTTTATGGATATAGCTATTTAAAAGGATTGTATGTAATATTTGAATTTGAAAATAACATCTACACGTGTCCTCAGATAATAGATCAACATGTTTGACCTTCTCTGAACAAAAGTTGAAAGGTTAATTAAGATTTCAAGGGACATGATTGCAGAGGATCCAATTAGAGAGCACTGTGAGGCTTGTCAGTTTGTTGGATGTAGCTGTTTTTGTATATTCTTTTTGTAATAGCACAATTTGCAAAAAAATACAGACGCAACTTTCTTGAAGATGAAATAAAGAGTCCCACAGTAGGGAAATTTCACTCTTTGCAAGTTATCATACAAAATAGTTTTTACAGTTTCCTGCTAAACCCCAGCAGGTGGATTGCGTCGCGAATCAGTTCAGCTGCATGTGTCTCAGACAGGACGATTCTGGCGACGGACTTTGATTTGAAATTGTAATAGACCAGGACGAGAGCATATTGCAAAGTCCTTTTAAATTGCAATACAAAAACATAGTTGTTCAGTGTTCTCATAGAAAACAACAATTTTGGAGGTTGATTGAATTTAGGGCTGTATCAAGTTCATACATGTATTGAAACTAATTGATTATTGAAAAAGTAGTACTATCAATTCATGATGATGTTGAGTTGCATCGTAAATCACAATAATAAAAATAGAAATCAGCCTTCCTTTGCTAAATCTGGTATATTTACAAAAGACACATGTTGATTACGGGGATCGGGGCGTGTGAAAAAGGCTAATGTCTGCTTTAACACTCGACATACCAGAGCAGTCAATTTGACAGTTTTTATTTTTGGAAGTGTAAATACTCATCTCATGTGCATTATTGGTCTTCATAACTTATATAAAGTTTTGTTATTATTATTTTTATTTTTATCTATTTTACTTTTGGAAATGTGAGGAGTTCTACCTTTTAACTCAATCAAGTGTTAGTTACCGTAGCAACACATGGTCAGATGGTCACATGGTCTGTAGTTTAGTTATACTGGATAATATTTATATTTTAGCAGTTATTATAAAGTGACTTTTGGTAAAAATCTTATAAATCACTTTCTTTAAATTAATCTGGTGATAAACTAAGAATTCTATTCATTTGAATTAGAAGCAGTCAAAATGACAGCTTTGGGAGTTCTAGCGTTAATCATGGAGAAAATAAGAACACAAAAGAGTTGCTAATGCTAATGTGTGTTCTTATGTTGTGCTCTCAGAGAAATGGGTTGTCGTTTAGCCAAGCTGAAGAAAGCGGAGGAGAGGAGCAGCCCTGGAAACATCTACTCCACTCTGCGGCGCCCCCAGGTGGAGACCAAAGTGGGTGTGGCGTACACCTACCACTTCCTGGACTTCCTGCTGGGCAAAGAAGGTATTGACCCACACAGGGCTGGGGAGGAGGGGGGTTGTTATGGGGCGGTTTTGTAAAAAGTATCTGATTGTGCTTCCTGGACAAACCCTGTGATTACGATGATATTTCCCAGAGATGTTTCAAAAACCTCTGGGAACATTTATCTTTATCCCGTTTCTTCTCACCTCTTCTTACGTGTGAGAACTCATCAACACCTGCTTCAAAGTGACGGCGCTGCTTTAGTTACTTTTCCACTTACGTAAAACATTCATATTCCACTGATTAGTCTCTGTGCATTTACCAAGAGACCAAGGCTCTCGGACAATCTGGACCTCGGAATGAAATAACTTCAATAGGTTTGAAGGAAAATAAAAACTCTAAACAACCGTGGGGAAAAAAGAAATCTTGGGGCGAGCCAGTGAAGTAGAGACTATTCTACTACCACTATTACTTCTATGATCACTAGTACTACTACTGCTACAGTACTTCTACTAATACTGCTACACCTCTGCCTACTGCTTATACTAATAATACTACAGCTGCTGCTACTACTACTACTACCACCGCGATTGCTACTTCTACTAATGCCGCTACACATCTGCCTACTACTTATAGTATTACTATTGCTACTGCTACTTCTACTAATACTGCTACACCTCTGCCTATTGCATAACTAACTAATACTACTGCTACTGCTACATATCTGCTTACTGGATATACTAATAATACCACTGCTACTGCTAGGCTGTAGATGAGAATAGGACTGAGTGCACCTCCATTTGAGCAGTTCTGGTCTGAGGCTCCTCTGGGATTGAGTGAGGACTTGTTAGTCATATTAGCGGTGCTCATGCTAACATATGTAGCATATTAGCAGTACTCATGCTAACATACGTAGCATATTAGCAGTGCTCATGCTAACATATGTAGCATATTAGCAGTGCTCATGCTAACATATGTAGCGTATTAGCGGTGCTCATGCTAACATATGTAGCATATTAGCAGTACTCATGCTAACATACGTAGCATATTAGCAGTACTCATGCTAACATACGTAGCATATTAGCAGTGCTCATGCTAACATATGTAGCATATTAGCGGTGCTCATGCTTAGATATGTAGCATATTAGCGGTGCTCATGCTCAGGGCCTTTCTGAGTGGAGTTTGCATGTTCTCCCCGTGTCTGTGTAGGTTTCCTCCGGGTACTCCGGTTTCCCCTACCACTAAAAACATGTCCAATAGTTCTGGCATGCGCCTCCTGTACTGGCGACCCTGCTCCCATCTCTGTGTGGAGTGAGAGACAAGTGCCCAAAAACAACAATTGTAAACCGCTTTGTGACTCTGGTCTGTGAAAGGCGGTATATAAATAAAGATTACTTACTTACTTACATATGTAGCATATTAGCGGTGCTCATGCTAACATATGTAGCATATTAGCAGTACTCATGCTAACATATGTAGCATATTAGCGGTGCTCATGCTAACATATGTAGCATATTAGCGGTGCTTATGCTAACATATGTAGCATATTAGCGGTGCTCATGCTAAAATATGTAGCATATTAGCGGTGCTTATGCTAACATATGTAGCATATTAGCGGTGCTCATGCTAACATATGTAGCATATTAGCAGTACTCATGCTAACATATGTAGCATATTAGCGGTGCTTATGCTAATGGGGACACAGGTGTAACAGAAAGTTGAATGTGCTGTCGTTGGCAGTTTGAAGTTGGTGATGTGTGCTACTCTTTCACATGGTTTTAAAGTAATCCTCTGAGCAGTGAAATAGAAACTTGCAGATCTGCATAAATCGTTTAAGCTCTTTATGTAATTTTTCTCACATACATATCATTTGCAAGTCGATTTGAAAAGGATATGTCAAGGACATGCATTTTAAATTAAGTGTAGAGATGTACACCCAGTTAAAATGGTGTGTCTTGCCTCTGGACCTAAGGCCAGTATGTACAGTATGTTTCATTATATCATAGGTCAGTACCATGTGTTCTGTATGTTCTGTTTTCTGAATGGAATTCCACACTTCTACCACTTTATGGGAGAGTTCTTTTTTGAGTCAGCTCTTACTCAATTTTCCCTTTATCCATATTCTTTCTTCTTAGGTAATTATTTCGGTATTGTATGGCATGAAATTCAAAATTAAATATTCCCCAGTACCTGTTTGAAGCTGGAGAAACTGATTTTTAGCAAGCAATAATATCTACCAAACCTTCCTGTCCCTATATCTCGCATATTTAGAGAGTAGGAACATCCAAGCCTGACCTACCAGAAACACAAACGTTACACTAATAATTTTTTAAATATGTGAGAGTATGGATCTCTGTCCCAAACGCCCTGTTTCAGCCGTGTGATTGGACAGCAAAAGAACCACAGAACACAGACAACCAAATGTAGGCAGAACATCAATTTCAACCTGACACCCATAGACGCTTCATGTGACTTTGCTCATTCAGTTTGTACACAGTGGTGATAAACCACTACTGTAGCCACAGCTGCCCTGGGGCACACTGAAAGAAGTGAGGCAGCCAGTATGTGCCATCGGCCCGTCACCCCCCCCCACACCAAATTCTACATTTCCCCCTAGTGGAAGCTTTGGGATAGGGCCGGAGAGCATATTACATAGGCCCTAGGGGAGTAAATACTGTAGTAATAGTAAGTTAATTTTAATAGTAATAGTAAGTACTTGTCCTTGCAGATGCAGGAGGGTTGATGATCCAGGACACTCTTTTTGGCCTTTATCAACATTTATGGACATCTGCCCCTCATGGACCAATGGCTATGCGTTTCTTATCATTGCATTTACATTTACTGTGTTTAACGGTTTGATTCTTGAATCTGTGTTGGCGAATCAACAGGTTTGAAAAGTCCTTCGAGATGTACTGTTGTGATTTAGGACTAAACAAAAATACATTGAATTGAATTATATAGTCTCATTATCATTTCAAGGGGCAACAGTAAGGCATTATATATGTTCTCTAAATCAAAGACTCTGATTTGATTACTGTTTGAGGGCAAAATATAAACACATAGTATAATATTTGTTGTCTAAAATCTTCCAAACGTCGGCAGACAGAGCTGATGTCTGCAGAGCTTCCAGTCTGGGTTTGACTCTAATCCAAACTAATTCTTGCTAAATGACAGTGTGTTCCTGCCTCTCCCCGTGTGTGGGCAGCTCCCCGGCCCTCACGCTCTGCCCCCTCTTCCGGCACCTTCCACAGAACGCTGAGGTCAGCAACCCGGTGAGCGCGCAGCTGGGTTTACCCTTTTATTTATTTAGCGCAAGTAGCTGGGGGCGCGACGTGGCTAAGAAGCTCCACTCCTCCGCCGCTCCTGTTGCCGACAGTTCAAAGACTTTGCTCAGATTTCTGCGTATTGTGCCTGGTAGATATTGCACTGATGCAGATATGTGCTCGTCTTGGGAGTCGGGAGGCGCAGGTTTGTGTTTTTTTGGGATATTTTTAATGCTTGCAAATAGGAGAAGGAAAGAAAAACACGTTTGTTCGCCCGTAGCTTTGCACGAATCCTCCAGAGGCTTGTCGCTTCTAAAAATACTAATTCTTCCATTGTGTTGAGATGAGAGGGAGTCAGAGAGGAGTGAAACAGACTTATACAATCTTTCAGCTTGGTGTAACTCAATAAAAGCTGTCGCTGTCAGCATTTAGTCGTTTTGTTGAGCTCCGGAATGTGAGTCCAGCGGCTCTGACGGAAACACTGCTCTTCCACTGGAAGTTTAGTGACAAATGAATTATTATTTACTATGAATTAATATCATGATGAATTTAGTTTTCTAAGAGATTATTAACACTGTGGAAACACCGGGCCTTTCAGTGTTCTCCTTGCATCTGTGTAGGTTTCCTCCTGGTGCTCCGGTTTCCCTTACCACTAAGAACATGTACAAGGGGTCTGAATTTGATGAGTGAGTGAGGGATGGTGATGGTGGAAGGCTCTGGTGATCCAGGTGTTCGATATCTTGCTTCTGTCATGACCGTTTGGAGTGAATGGAAAATACCAGTACCCCAAAAGTGAAAATATATGAATATAAATATATGCGCTATGTAATTGAATATTTCTTTTGTCCGCTAACATTCCTCATAGTAGTACTAACCCCATTTTTATTGGGTTAGGGTTAGGGTTAATTTATACTTTTGTTTGCTAAATGAGAAAACATTGTTATAATTCAAGTAAGGGCCGGGTGAAGAAAAGTAATTACCCACAAGAAATAGTTAAGAGCAAATACATTCCTTATGGAGAAATCAAAGTGCCCACCTAATGCCCAGAGATATCATGACCACTGGAGAATGAGATGCAAGTATCAGATCTCTAGCTTTAGCATCTAAAATGCTCCTGCTAACTTGCAAAGTCATCTAACCCATCGTTTAGCACAACGAGACCAGATCATCCAATGTTTGCGACGGAAACAATATCGACTCAACACATTATTTGGAATTTGCTAATTAATCCCTTTTTAAATTTGGACTCTGACATATCCAGTCGCCCTATCATCCCGACACGCAAAAGCAGGTGCAGGGAGCTTTAGCAGAGTCCTCTTCCCAATGCAACAGTGTAGCAGACAGCCGGCCCGGCAAAACGCCAAGTGACAAGGCCGCGTTCGCCAGGCGCTTCATGTTTAAGCCAGACTTGTTATGTTTGGCAATTGCGCTGAGGCTGCCGACTTGGCCAGGGAGTGGGAAATCTGGCAAAATGGAACGTTGACGCAGACCAAAAAACCCATCCCAGGCTTGAGAAGAGCTCTGCCTGTCCCGAACGTTGCTTTAAGGCACAAAGCAAGGAAATAATGGTCTAATCGCGCCCAGCAGGCTGTAGAGGAACACGAGCACACGGAGCATCCAGAAAGTGGGTCCCTGGTCTCTGTATAATGTAATGTACGATCATGGAGGGCTGGCTCTCGTCTGGATGGATATTGTTGAAATTACAGCCATAATAAAGTCTCACGATGATATGTAATTTAGTTGATAGGCTATAATGCGATTACAAGATGAAACTGACTTTGTAACAGAGCACAATTGAATAAGATGTTGGCTACAAGACTGGACCTGCCCTAAAAGCCGCCCCGCATGTTTACTACACTGCAAAAAGTGATGAAAAATGAGTCAAAAAAATGCAAAACATTTTGGTAAAATGTATCTTAATTTGAGCCTATTCTGACTGCCTAAAACAAGAGTCTCCAATGGGACAAACAACATTATTTTATCTTATTATCTAATAAGAAATGTCTCCCTTTGAATGACAAAAAAAACAGTTCAATGCACTGACTGCCCTGCACAACCCGCCTGGGAGTACTTCAGTCCTGCACCGGACCTGTCCATGCTCAACGGCCGATTGTCCACGTTCTGTAGCTTAGGTCCTGCATCTATAGCCTGTCCGTCCGTGGGAGCGGATCCCTTTCTCAAACTGTAAAAAAAGGTTCTCTCTGAGGTTTCTAATTTTTTTCCCACTGGGTTTTTTTAATGAGTTTTTCCTTGCCGATGCAGGAGGGTCTGTTGGGCAGTTAGTGTCCAACAAAAATGACTGTGATGATGATCCAGGACACTTTAACATTCTACAACATGTATGGACATTTATCAACATGTGTTCTATATTCTTTATGTGTTTTAACTGTTGATTCTTTGATCTGTGTTGGTGATTTCAATGGTTTTGTTACGTCCTCTGAGATGACTTTTGTTGTGATTTAGGGCTATACAAGAATAAATTGTATTGTATTGTATTGTGCTGCAAAAAATGATAAAATATGAGTTAATAATAGTTAAAATGTCAGTTTTTTTCTGTGTGACTTTGTGAAGATTAAAAAAACCCACTTGATTTAAGCAATTACCTAATTTTTTGCAGTGTACTGGCCTGCAACATAAAAAAAAACACTTTCAGTTTCAACGCATCAGTGTGCATTTAAAAACCCTTCAACTCAAAGCAGTTTGGTGCCTCACTAGTTTTCACATGCATTTTTTTGGCCTCTCAAGCAGCTTTAGATCAGCTTTTGTAGATGGAAATATATAAAGTAAGGTGTAATCCACTCTCTTTCAGTTAATGATTTTTGGTTTATATTCCAAAAGTTCAGTGACTACGTTTAATGACATTAATAATAATGCATTGGTTTTTTATAACGCTTTTACTGGTTAAACATATTTTCATTCTGTCATTAGTCATTAGTGGGCAGGACAATGGCAGAGTGGTTAGCAAGAAGGTCCTGAGTTCGAAATCTGGGTCCTCCTTCCCCTCCCACTAGAACAGGGTCAAACTCATTTTGGTCGGGGGCCAAATTTTAGGCTGCGGTCACATGCGCACATTACAGACGTATGAAAGTGATATAAGTGTTTATTTTTTCTTTACATATTTTCGTATTCAACAAATCAAATTGAGTTTGGATGTTATTTTGTAGTAGGTTTGGATTCAATCACAAAATATCAAGAGGAAATGTATTGGAAGACTGATAGTTAAATATGAAAAAAGATAAAATAAGAAATTTGGCTCCAAAATGTTGACATGCCCGCACTCGAACATAATATAAATGTGTATATATTCTGTGAGTCATAAAACCTCATTTCTTTATGTTTAAGTCTATGTGAGGTTATACAAATTACTAAATTAATGGACAACTATTTCAGTTATTGCTTGGTTATGATTCATCAAGTAACTTGTGACAGACATGGTTGTATGGAAATCAACAAAATAGTTGTTCTTTATGCCAAATTTATGAGGCCCCAGACCAGCCGCATTGATTGAATTGTTAATAGTTAACAATTTTCCCCATAAAACAAAAAGGAAAAAACCCATGTGACTTGGTCACGATGGAGAAATGAGTCCTGCTCTGTGGCTGACCGTTGATCCCACACCGTTTAACCATAACTGTAAATAATAACAGACATAGTCACGCCTATCTCCGCCGTTCTAACTAATATGCCACCGCTTCAGCGGCCTATGGGCAGTTTCAAAATGGCCGCGGGGGCTGGAAAATGTGAAAAAACGCATCTGCGCATAGTCAGCAGGCACGAGCCCCATTCATTTAAACAAGTGACTTCAAAAATTCACAGCGACTAAACTAGAAAATTCCCTCCCCTTAGCATTGACATGTGGAACGGAGCTTTGGGCCAAGAGCCAACTTTTATATAACCTGGCAAGAGCCAGATTGATGATTGTGTAGAACTCTAATGCGTTCTCCACAATATCAATCTGGGACTTCTGCAGGACAATCCTTTCGGGGAAAGGAGGGAAAAGCAGCAGAATACTTCAAGCTGATTGGGCGAAGTGACACTGTGTGCCCGCCTACGTACCAAGGTTGCCGTCCAGAAATGCACAAAGCGCCTCTCGCTGTTCATCTTTCAAAAAAAAAATTGGAGATTCTGCTAAAACTGACTTGATAGCCTCAGCTACGCGTCCGTCCTCCTGCGTAGCCATGTTTGTTTTGCTTCGGCCCGGCACTTCTTGCTTTCGTCAAACCCGGATATCCCGCCCTAAACCCCCAGACTGGCTCGTGATTGGCTTGAACACCTAGATGTTCTACTCGAAAAGGGTTAGCGGGAGCGGGACAAGATGTATTCTCGAGTGTTTGTGAACTCACAAATACCGCAAGAATTCAGCTTGCAGGCAAGGTTAAACTTTTGGACTATCCTGTAAATACGTTTTCGAGAGGTCTGCCAATGCTATATGTTAGCATTGGCTAATTCTTATTCCGGGTCCCCCTCCATAGGCCCGGGGGGTGTTGCAAGCATGTCAGAGTCATTTTGGCCACTTTTGAGCTGGGACCCGCCCCCACTGCGTTTAACACTCAAACTCCCAACAATTTGAAACTACTCAAACTCCCAGTGCTGTCATTTTGACTGCTCTCATTCAAACCAAAAGAATTCAGAGAAATTGTCTCAAACATTTTTAGTTTTTTGACAGATGTATTAAAAGTATTTTATAAGGTGTTTTTTGTTATGTTTTATGTACTTTTAGTTTATTTGTATAGCACAGTTTATACATAAGGTGACTGAAAGTGATCAACAATTTCTTAAGATTCATATGATCTTTGTTTGTGCTGCTATTGACACAAAAAAACTATAAAATAATTGTTTGTGGTTATACAAAGGCTATGGCTTTGGCGTTGGAAATGACGCGTACCTGTAAGTGTCACTTGAAGTTGAAAATAACTAAAAATAATCGGTTAAAGCAGTGTGTTTTTACATATTTTTAAAACCTGAAGACAGCGGCACCCCCAAAGCGCCCTGTTTGGTATTTGGCTCCACCAAAGACAAAATGTGGAAGAGTTCTGGGGGTACGAATACTTTGTCAAGGCACTGTATTTCTACCTATATTTGAAATCGACAGTCTGGAAATATCAATCTGCTTGTAAATGGCTGCACAAATTGGCCTTTTTTCTTGCTACAGCAATCCCCTCCAAGTTATTACAACGCTTTTTTAGTAGCAATTTCGCTCCGTCGCAGCTGCACCTCATCATGGACAATGTCAGGGTAGTACAATAGTGTCTAAAGCTTACATCGATTTGGGGGCATGAACTTTTCTCTGGTCGAAATGTGTTTCTATAAGCAGCAGACAGCACTCATTCACTCCCTCACAAAGCACTTACAGTTCACCAATAGAGTCGAGCCTTATCTGGGAGCAGACAGGCAGGTCGCTTATATGGAGAAATCACATGAGCACACCTGAGCTGCTTAAGATACCCTGGCGTCTGGGTAAAAGTGATGTGAATGTGTCTTCTCTGGTGGAGCGCGGACCAGAAGTGAAGGATTCCTGGAGGATTATCTGATTGTTTGTCCAGATTGAGAGAGCTCATTCCCAGCAAAGGGATTTATTTGTGTGTGTGTGTGTGTGTGTGTGTGTGTGTGTGAGTGGGAGGTAGATGGAGGAATGTGTATGCAGGGCCATGACATTGAGGAAACCCACGGTCAAAGCATGCCCTAATTGAATTTGCCTTCCATTAATTTTATTATTCCCCTGCAGGGTGGCTCCATGACTGGGCCACATCACTGAGTGGAGCAGACAATAGCGCTTATGAGCCTGCGAGGCATGTGAGGCCGCAGAGACGGATTCTGAAGTAACTCCCAAGTATTTGTCTGTCTGGGACAAGTGCCTAATACCAGGGTGGAGTGCACTAAACCTCTCACTGCTTAAGCAAACAAATGCTAATAACTATGCTGCAGTACTTTTTCCACTGCTCTTATGTCTCTCCGATAAAGATTCGAGTCGTAAGGATATTATACATTTATCCTGGGGTTGCTGATTTTCAAACCGTAAAAGCAGTAAGTAAATATTCAAAGTGTTCCAGTCTGTCAGAAACCCTTTGGCACATAATCAGTATTCCCCTGCATGGATTTGTGGTCACAGACAAAGTGATGTATTCCAGTTTACATTAGCAGGCACAGCATAGAAAATACATACAAATAATAGTAATGAGTGCATACAGGGTAAATCTGAGCGGTCAGGTGCTCTTCAAGCATCCGTGGGAAAATTAAGTGGAAAACAAAGAGGAACAGGTCTGAGGCACTCTGACTTAACAAAACAAGGCAAGGAACATTGCAGTGTCCCTTCAACGTTAAAGGATTTTTATGTTAAGTCAGAGTGCCTGTAAATTATTGCTATTTTTATTATGTGCCTAAAATGATTGTTCTCAGAAATAGAACCATTTTAGTTTCTATTCATACACCTTTCCTCCTGTAATACGTCTTGCCTGGCTTGTGCAGACTATGTGCTTTTGTAGT